ATATAAAATAAAAATATTAATAATTTATATTAACATAAACTAAGTTCTACATACTTTACTGAGAAATGTAACTGTACCCTGTGCTGTTTGTCGAGTACCTTCATGTATATCGTCCATAACACGAAACAGCTGAGACCATAACTCTTTTAATTCTGGCTCTGGAACTTCATCTGTTAAAGTGAACTTACTATAATAAAATCGTCATTTTTATTAAAATATTTTTCGTTTACTAACCTACTTCCATAGATACTGGCGCAGTTTTTGATTTTTCTACAACTTTTAACTTCTGTATCATATTTTCTTCAGTACGCAACCTTAATCCATTTGAACGCTTTAGTAAATCCCGTACAGCTAGGCAGCAAGCAATGCGTACGCGCCACTCTTTAAAAGTTAAATTATCCAAAATTTCGCGCAATATCTCCCAGTAGTACTTTTCAACCACTTCTTTTGAATCAGTTACAATTGAGTCCCAGATTGATATCATGGAATTCTGTATTTTTGGTGTGGGATCGTATTTGTAACGGTACAAACGTGGTATAATTTTTCCCAAGTATGGTTGCATTTTAGCTTTAGAATTTTTTGAAAGTGATTTTAAGCCAAAAGCAGCACCTAGTTTACTCGTCCATGCAGCATTATGATTTGCCAATTGCATAAATTGATAAACCATTTCGGGTTGATTAAGGTCAGATGCTAATGCGCAAAGTTCCTTGTATGTAGTTATATTTCCACTAAAAAGAGTTAGTATTTAATTTAAAATTAATTCAGTAAGTTTATTATTTTCTTTACCCCATTGGAGTTTTGCCAAGTGTTCCTTCTGGAAATAGTTCAGTTTCTTCTGTTACTTTATTAACACTTCGTTTCCCACCAATTAATTGATTTAATAAGGAATTTGCTAAATCGTGTTGACTTTCAGAACTAGATAAAGAATAAACTAAGCCAAGGCCTCGAGAAGCAACATCTTGCACAAATTCTTTGGAATTATAAAATTAATTACACATTAGCTATATCATATCACTTTAACTGCACGATACAATTTTCTTTAGTGTTGCGATCTAACGACAGGTTTTAGTAAAATTGAATATTCTAACTAACTTTTTCATTACGATATGTCCACGTCGTTTGAGTACCAAAAGATATCAGAAAAGATAATCAAACCATCAAGTACCATATGACATTTCTACATTGATTACACAAACATTAGTTAACAACAATTAGTATCTAAGCAGTGCGTCTAAGCTAGGGTTTAGTTTGTATTTTTTATCTAAAACGTTTCTGTCGGATATCTCAACAATCAAGTTATATTGAGACACACCGCAATGAAAAAAATTTCTCAGATTGATTGATTCGTAATCCGTAATCAGATCACAGCACTTCGGAAACTATAAACATGGCACTTTAATCAATATACTCACCACTGTCGTCTGATAATAGTTCGGTGAATGCGAATTGTAATATTTCTTTTTTATTAAGTAAGGTCGGATGATGACTACAATGTTTTACAATTCCTAATAACCAAACGGATGTGGCCTATATATTATTAAAAAAAAATGTTATGCATTTATTAATATAGTCTAAACAAAATTGTACCGCTATTTAACTTACCTGTCTACTGTGTGGATTTGGTTCCGGAACTAAACGAATAATTGAGTTCAAAAATGCTTCAAAACTCTTTTCGTCGCAATGTTCATTTACAAAATCTACTGGTGGTGTACCCGTAGTAACATCATACCCATTTAGTGTTGACACAATAGCTTCTGATATAGCAATATTCAAAGCAGCATCTTTTGGCACCTTTACCAATGACAAAAATTTTTCTAAATTACGTTGGGTAAAGTGGGATCCATCACCTATAGCTAAGTGTCCCATACATTTTGCTGCTACTTCACGAATTTTGGCACGTGTTGAAGTACTCCGCAATATACTGAATACTACAGTAAATATTATAGTCTTCGTTTCTGCTGTAGCAGCTAAAGAATATAAAATAAATAAATAATTATGGATTTGTTTATTGTCACTAAAACTTACTTTGGAACTCAACTACTTCATCCTCATCGTTTTCCTTTGGTATTGTGATCTCAACTGCAACATTTGGTATAATAACAATTTTACCAATCATCGAAATACAATTTAAAGCAGCTGAAACCAGCAGCCATTGTGTTTCACAAAGCATTTTTGCTAAAAAAAAATTAGTTAAAAATAAGAGATCGAAATGAAAAATATATTCTTTTTATTACATATAAGTTTGATAGCTTCAACAAATTGTTTCCACTCGGCTATATTAATACTCGAATTATTTGCTTTTAGATTTTCCAGTTTTCGACTAAATGCATGTCCTATCACTAAAAGCCAGCCATGCTTGTGCTCTAAGCTTTTTTGCTTTATATCAGCAATATATTCCGAAACCTGAACAAAAATATGTATTTTAATAATCTGTTTATATATAGTTTTTATGTATATTCCTTACCTGAGTGTTAAATTCATCGTCACTATAACCGTTTGCCAGTAAGATTCCATATACTTGTGCTACATTTATACGCATAGTTTCTGATATATCCTTCAAAGAGTTTGATAAGGGTTGCAATAAATGCATTTGAGATTTTGCAATTAACTCGGGTGCCACATGTAATAAATCGTACAGACAAATCAAATTCGATTCGGCTGTAATAATTGTTATTGTATATAAATATTAAAATCGTTATAAAATATTTACTTCTCTTGGCCTCAATACTGCGTTGCACAAATTGCAGATATTGATGCAGTTCATTATTATCACTCTCTTCATAATTATTTGCTATATATTGTTTAAGAATGTGAGCATATCTTTCATCACCTGGAAACGATCTTATTCCTGCTGAATACCATAAGCATACGCGTAAATAGTCAAGTACCTAATAATAACAAAATATAATTATATATATATATATTATAAATACACAATTCAATAGATATGTACTTCTTCATAGACTTCTAGTGTAAATGGTAGCTTAGTACGTCCTACTACGACGTATGATGAACTTTTTGCTAAACGTTTCTCAGTCATGCTATGTACATGCTGCATCATAGATTTGAAACTTGGCAACACAACTCGCTTCTGATCCTGTGCCGATTTGTTGAAGTCATCAGATGCTTCTTCAGGATATTCAATTGAAGATAACATATTATAATTAACATGATCTTTCTTCGATACGCCATAAAGGTATGTGGTGACATTTTCACGAAGCGAATTTCTAAAAATGAATTTTAACCATTCAATTAATAAACAATATTTAAATAAATGTTATAATATTACCGTTCTCCTGCTATTAATAAAAGTAAATATCTTGCAGGAGCATAAGATTCCGGAAAACATGTTGTGAGAAAGACACTAGTGACATTTTGAATTATATGCAATTTCGCTTCAGCGTTATCTGAGAGCATAGCTAATAATAGATGTTGTTGTCCTGACAAGTGAATTTCATTATCCATTTCAACATCCTCATCATTGTTAACATTATATTTTTTCTTTTCCCATGAGAAAGCAGGAGCCATCGATACCAACGCTTCTCGTATGGAAGAATGTAGTTCTGGAGGTGCATTAGCAAGATGATTAAAATATGAAAGTACTATTTTGAGATCTTCATTAACAACTTCAGGACAAGTACGTGCTAGTTGTGCCATTGCAGTATACGCAGCATTTTGAACATCTATTGGTTCTGATGATTCTCGCCCAATAATTTGTCCAATACCACCTAATATAACTTTAGCAAGTTTAGAAATAAGCGCAATAGGTCCACTGAAAAAAAAAGAAAACATAAAATTAAAAAAAAATTTATATAACAATTAACAACACTTACTCTTTTATTAGGTTTTCAGCAAACTGCAAAGCTAGCACTTTACATTTTTGATTAGTATTTGCGCCAAATAGCCCCTCGAATATAACTTGTATACCGTTTGCAGGATTTATACCTTTACCACGACATTTAATAAGATACTGTAGTAATTTTTGCCTAACACGGGCACAACAAGGATTCGTTTTACGATCAGGGTCAGTACTTCTATTACCAGAAAAAAGTACATAAAGTGGTTCAGTTGCATGTGGATCACTAAAGTCTATCACAGTAGAAACTTTACTCAATTCAGCTATAGCAGGAGTAGCTACACTAAAGCGTGTATCAGCAGATGCAACAACTAGCAGCACGAAAATTTCCTGATCATTAAAGACACCGGTGCAAATAAAGCGAACTATGCCTTTTTTAATCTGTATAGCATTATAATTACAATAGAAATCATAAAAAACTTTTCTTAAAATTGCACTCTTGCCTGTTCTAATTCTTCAGCTCTCCAATTACTAACAGTCACGCGTTTAAAAGAATATGTACTCATACCCGGAGGAACATCATGCTCTGGTGTAATGCCATATGGCAACAGCAACACATCCAAAAGAAGATTAAGAAAATTTTTACGTATTTTTGGTTTATCATCTAATTTCAACACTTGACTACGTTCTTTTGGATCATCTGGAACTTTTATTTCACCTAATATTGGAAGTAACAACATGAAGAACCTAAAAATAAAAACGAACAAATAAATAATAATATAATAAATATATAATATGGTAAATATTTACTTGTCTTGATAATTTTCCATATTTTCTTCACATCCTACCACTTTAGATGCTAATTCACTTCGACTTTCAATAGAAAGTCTCGGATATCCCATAATTATAAATATAATAGCAAAATTAAGTAGAAATGGAGAGTATCCATGTATAACATATTGATCCAATAATGCATCGACTGGCAACTGGACTTGCGAACGTGAAGTAACGCGTCGTTTAATGTGAGTGAGTACTTCGATAACCTAAAGTGTATAGAAAACATATGTATGTTTAGTTTATATCATAAATCTAGAAAATTTCTCTATATCTAACCTTAGCACGAACATTTTCATTAGGTGAAGTTATTTTAAGAATGACTGGCGTTAAAAAACGTCCCACAGTAGATTCTAATTTTTCATCAGTGTCTGCGGCCCCCAAGCGAAACAATACACGCTCTAATAGTTCTGCAATTGAAAAAAAAGATTATAGTAGAAATATACAAGTCTTATTTACTGAATAAGTATTTATTAATTTATTCATTAGTTATTTAATATTAATATTCGCATATACCAATTTCGTCCGATGCAGATGACATTTTCTTTCTTTTTTGCTTACTCGTCTAACTTGTGTGTCACTTTTCAAATGCTTTGTTTTGTTTTGATTTACTTTTGTGCCGTTCTTTCAAAAGTATCGGCACAATCAAAATAAGTTAACTATTACAATATAGATGTAACATATTTTTAGGTAAAAACTTGTGGTCACATCTACAATTTATATAAAATGTAATTTCTACACTGTAAAAAACTAGAGACAATATTTTCCAACAAATTTTTACTACTTAGTGAGTAGTGTAATAAGTAATAATAGGTCTGTTCCACGAGCAACTTAAGTAAAGTACAAACTGTGAGCGTAACAGAAATAAAGTGTGAATTCACACAGATTTAAGTAAAGTGTAAAGTTTGATGAGAACACCAGTGCCGCGCAAAAAAACAATACAAAAATTTAAATTGAGACCAAAACAGACGATTTACACATCAACACAAATTTTATTTGAAATAAAATGTACATGTAAAGTCTGTGTAATATTTTCAAATTTCGACAAGGATGTTACGCTTTCTTAGATGCTCTCTTTTACTCGAAAATTTGCTTGGTGAAACGCACTTGTGTATACACAGTGTTACTCAAAGTTAGTGCAAGTAGTTCGTGGAACAGACCTGATATTAAGTAATTCAGTGGGTCACAACGATAATACATGGCATTTATGAATTTTGGCCTTCTAGTGTGTTTAGTGTGCGTATATATAATATATTTGCAATTTCACGTGTAATAGCAAAATTTGCAAAAATCATACGCAGATTAATGAAAATCAAAATATATGTATTAAGATCTCAATATTAAGACAAGGATCAAGATCTCTGTGTATCGTAGAATGTGCATCATTGCAAACTTAAATAATTTTGAATGCATTTTGATCGTATTAGTCTTGCAAATATTTAGAACAGCTAATTTTTGGTTTTATATTCATTTACTTATACAACTCATATTTCGATATGAATAATTTTAAAGATGTCAAGAAAAGTAGAATATATTGAATTCTGTGCTGAATTTTGTTTGTTTATTTTGTTTGAATAAACGAGTAATTTGAATTTATGCTTTTAAATGTTTAATATAGTACTTTCTTGATCGTAAAATAGATATAAAATCAAACAATTGTCAACAAAAGTTACCAGTTTCGCTAAAGTATCGCCTAGCGAACAGTTAAAAAAGGTATTATCATTCACAATAGAGTTTTGAAAATCACATATGCAAGAGGTAATTAGTGTTGAAAATATGGTCTTGCATACTGCCTTGAAAATCAATTGTAGTATCATAAGGGAATTATTTTTGTAAAATCAAATAATTTTGCAGGTGCAACAATACATAGAGATCTTGAATACTCCTCTTAATTTTTTTACGCTTTTGCTCGTTGATCTTCGTATGTGATCGGCATTATGTCGGTAACTATTTAGTCCTTGAAAATAATAGTGTATGCAAAAACATTAAAGCAGTGTTTAGCATATTATAATATCCATCAATAAAATTTTTAAAATAAATTATTGTATATACTGTAATATGTGCAATATCAATTTATTTCTATTCAACTGGATACAATTTTTTAAGACACAAATGTGAACTTGTACTCTAATCAATACACCGATTAGAGGTAAAAAATATTTGAACTATTGTAAAAATGTCAAATAGCTTTAAAATATTAACTTAAGCTCAAAAAGATCAATTTAGCCGTATTTTTTTCATATAGAGTTGCAAAAAAATTTTTGCAACTTACTAAAGAAAACACGTGAAGTAAGAACAATACACTTAAAATTTTCAGAGTAAGGCTTTACTTGTAAAAATAATACGTCGAGTTTCAGTTTAGCATTGCTCTGTTATTACTCATTTTGTTTTCTTCTATTTAAATGAAGTAATTTTAAGTGTTTGCAATTTTTATATATATCTTATTGTACACAACACAATAAAAAACATATAACAAAAAATAGCATTAGACATATTTTAAGTGATACCAATGTGTTTAAAGCAAACTTAATCCTGTTTTTTTACAACTCTAAAAGAAATAAATACGCCTATTGTAAAGTCTTAATTTTGACTTACAATTGGCGATGCGATGTGGTAACCCACATAAATGAGTAATAATACTCGTACTATTAAACAAAGACAAATGCATACAAAAAATACTCTATTCGGACACTCTTCAATAAATCCCCGAGCTGCACGTTTCCAGATTGGTTCATGCATTTTTTAAAAAGGACAAAATTTTGAATACGAAATATAAATTGAACGTTTCTGTCCTAAAAAATAAATAAAAGGTTTTTTAAATGTTTTAAAAATTTTAGTATTAATGACTAGGATAACAAAAATCTACTCTCTTAAGTAAATTGATTAAAAATAAATAAATATTGTTTGTTATTGATGATTGTTAATCATCTATAATATAAAGGATTATATTATAGATGATTAATTTATTTCAAAAAAATAGTGTAATAAAATCAAATTACAATAATATGGGACATAATCAATAGAATTATTCAACGAGGACTGTTAATTGATAAATGGTTCTACTGAGACCAAATGGTATATTAATGGGCTAATTTAAACTAAATCTACATAAAGACAACTGACGACTAAAGCTCCTTGGCAGCTCTAGCCCTATCTATTTAGACAAACAGACAGGGAAAATAAACTATAAAGTGTCCTTACCAAAAAAAATACTTTAAAAATGTATCTGTTAATATTACAAGATTCTTGATAAATGATAAAACCGTTTGGCATGGTGGTATATGTATTTTAACAGTATATTTACACTAAGGGCGCATCATATAAAATTTCCCTTATAGAATTTATTAAGGTAAAACAGGTTGAACATACTTTTGCAGTACATGAAGTTAAATAGTTATATCCAATTTCAGCGATATTGGATATCAACTCAAATATAATATTAAAAGTTCTATGCTCACTATTTATTTATATATTAGTTTAAGATAACGTTTGGATATTTGATTTTTGTTTTCGTATTGCTTTGTGTACAAAAACAAAAAACTAAACTAACTCTTTACCTGCACCAACCATTCAATACATTTTGCATGAAATTACAAAACCAACTATTTTACATGCAAAACGCGTTTTGTATTTTCGTTTTTAATAATATCAGGCACGCCATGTGGCTTATATTTTGTTTTTAAAAATAAAAGTTATTTTTGATTTTTCTATTTAAAAAAAAAATAATAGTTATTTGTGCGTTTTAAAATAAAAAGCAGAATGATAAGAGTTATTTGTGCGAGGAAAAATAAAAGGCACATGATAATAATTATTTTTGAAATATATAATATAAGGCAAATTTAAATATAATTTTTTGAGTTTTATTTTAAAAGCGAATGATAAAAGTTATTAGTTGATTTTTATATTTTTAATAATACCTGTAACGGTCCCTGCCTATGAGTGTTCTGAGATCCTCCTGTCTCTGTTTTTCATATCGACTGAAAATTAATATATCCTTCATAATTATTAAATAATAAATTATTAAAATGCAAAAATAGTAAAATATAAACATATTTTTATTCCATTAATAATGCTTACATATAAAATTTAAATTTTAAAAATAAATTAAGTTTATATAAACAGCAGCTGAGAGCTACTAAATGGTTTTAAAATGATAGTAACTTAAAGATTTCTGTTCCGTGTCCGAAATTACTCACAAGGACAAAGTTAATGTACCGGCACAATTTTGTTTTGTTTCTTAGAAGTATAATCACTGATTAAATTAATGCAAATTACTACAAAAATAAATAATTTATTATGTTAATAAAATGAGTAAAACTAGTTGCTCTTGTATCTGAAGGAGCACTTTATGTTTGTGAGATGCGTGAGAAGCACCATACTTCTGGGCGTAAAAATTAAATTTATTTTTTATGTGCTGTATAATTCTACAAATTTCTGGTAACATTTATTATTCATTCTTATGCAATAATTGTATCTTTAAGAATTAAGGATCTGTGATTTTCCGCCAGTTTAACGGCTCACATGTCCGAATAGATTATCATTAAATGTCCATTAAAGTTTTTCTAAGTGAGGCGCTTAATTACTATTGCGAACAAGGCTGATTACTTAAGTGTAAACAAACAAACTAGAAACTTTTTTCTGTCTTTATCTGCAAAGTTTTAAGATGTTTTCGTTGTTTCTTGTTAGGCACGATAACATAATATGAAAGAAACCATTAAGACATTGGCAATTTAATTGACGCAATTAACACCAACCACAACATCAGTATTCAAGTCATGAGATTGATTGGATTTAGTATTAACCATTATTATTAAAAATTTCTATAAATAGATACATTTAGAAGCCTTTTTTATGTCGAATACATAAGTTGCTATTGTAAAAATATAATTTGAATAAAACATATTATTCAGTATAATACATTCCATATTTTGGATGCCTTGAAAACTCCTCATGTTGCTAAAAATTTAAATAATAAAATCATTTGTATTTATGTATCTAATGTCAATGTATTATGTATTCGGGCTATATTGTTACACGTGGGCGTAGGCATGAACCTTGGCAGAGGGCAGAGCTTAAATAATTATTTTTAATAAAAATTTCAAATTGATGTGCTATTAAGAGAAGTTAAATTTAAAACTTTTTGGCGCTGAGTTCATCGAGAAGAAAACCTAAACCAAAAAAAATTATTCACATATCAATTAAAAAAAAAACACATTAAAACCACCTGCCATTGCTGTGCTATCATTGCAAGTACTAAAAATTTATTTAAAGAACTTTAATAATATTTTAAAATCAAAACAGATAATCAAGATCTTAAGCAGCAAATGCTACAACCGAGTAACTTATGCCGTTTTCGATTAGAAATTCTAGACTAACTTTTTTAATTGTGATTCACTTTAATTGTAATTTCCATTTCTGATTGGTAAATCTCGAGCGAAATGTATAATACTTGAGATAATTTCATAACACTATAGATATTTCGACAGAGTAGTAAGATAACCCTAAAATTAACAGCTGTTAATGACAGATAAAGTTTGATTTGAACCGAGATATGTGTTTTTAAAAAATATAAATACCCACTAACAAAACTGCAAAAATGTTGTTGGACAACTAAATTTGAAAATGCCATAATAACAGTGCAAAGTAGCAACAACAAAATAGATTTATTCGAAACGTACTATATTTCTAGGTTACCCAGCTCATTACTCGAGATCGTGAATACAA